CACTCTTTTAGTGGTTGAATTGGTAAAAGACACATCAGCTTTTTATCTCAGTGAATGTAGATATCTGAACAGCTCAAACAACAGATGTGGTTCAGAGTGGATATAAAAGATACATTTAACAACATTAGCTCTCGGGTCAAAATGTTAATAATCCCACAGAAGGAATATTTATAGTATAATCTGAGACCTGAGTGTTTGTGACGACTTTACTCACCCACCCTAACCACATGACATTACCTGTGTATCGTGGTGTTTCAGAGTCTCATACTTTCCGTCTATAATCACAACCTGTATTCACACAGTGCTATTTAAATGCTATTCCACATTTCCTAACTTTCTGGGGATAGTATTTGCAAATTAAGAACTAATTCTCAATGCAATGGGAAATTGAAGAGACAACAAGGAGCAAAGTGAATAAAAAATGCACAGAAAATATTAACGTTACTACAACTTGCCTTCTGACTAACTTTGCTGTATGAAACCTTCAGACACACTGATACATCCTGATAAGGAGATTTTGTTTTTTAGTATCATTAATTCAATGTTTTTCTGCATGTCATTCGTGGCAATCATGATGTCCTAAAAATACAAGAGTACTTTTCTTTTGAGGAAGTTTAGTTGCAACTACATTTGTGCAAATATGGTGCTAAAATACAGCTCTGCATGAAAAAAGAGTGATGTTTACGAGGCACATAAATGCTACGTGACTCAAACTCCCCGCCCACCAGAATTTGACGCCCATGGTGCAATATGGTCATAGTGGGGGAGAATTACTAATGTTTTAGTGGTTTGAGAATCAGTCGCTTCTTCAAAGTGGCTCAGTGTTATTTCCTGAGAACTGATGGGGAAGTGTTTCTGTGAGAATGTGTTCAACAGCAGCAGCAGCAGAGCTCTGGAGGTGTTACCCTCTGATGATGAGCAGACAAGCATCACACGTCATCATGTTTGTTCACACCCTGTAAGAACACAATTGGTCAGAATATTAACCAATATCCTTAGATGGCTTTGTGGGCAGTGCAGAGGAGGAGCGAAAACATAGTTTCTCTAGAAATAATCGTTGTACATTTTACTCATACATAATCTGTTCAATATTTATACTCCATATTCCATAATGTCATATATTTTGAATATATATATATATTTGTATATATAATATCTGCATGTATATTTTCTATTTCAACATGTATATTTTATATTTTCTTTTTCTTTCTATTCTTGTATATTTTGTAGTTTTGTTTTATTGTAAAATGCCTTTTATGCTCCTGTAACAACAACAATTTCCCAATTTGGGATCAATAAAGTGCTATCTATCTATCTATTGATCTATCTATCTATCAGTCAGATCTAAAGATAACGGTATGGACGGTTTTAATAGTGTCTCTCTAACAGAAATGCTTACATGTCAGTATGCTCTTTGTGTAACTATAGCTCCATAGGTGTATAAAGAGAACTGTACACTGAGTTGGAGGCGGGACCTTGTTCATTGTTATGAGAGTTGGTCAGGGACACATGAAGCCAAAATGTCCTGCCTCTCGAGGGAAAAAGTACCCGTATCTGGGCCAATAGAGCACATGCGTTTTACTTAAGCCCCGCCTCCAATCTGCAGCTTCAAGGCCAATCTCGTCTCAGTCAAATGAATGGAGAGGTTTAATATCTCTGGATTCAGCTATTAGCACATTTTGCAACTTTTAGATCCTCGTGATTTAAATAAGGGCTATAAAAGTGTTCGTACTGGGTAGTTGATTAGTTTTTATTTTAAAGATCTGCAGATATACAGACGTCCAGTGGCGGCTGGTGGAAAATATTTTTGGTGGTGCTGTGGAAATGGTGACCAAACCATACTAGGGGGGTCCGGGGGGATGCTCCCCTGGAAGAAAATGTTGAGAAATGACCCCTTAAATTATGACTGCTGGTGATTGAGGCTTAAAAATTGAGGCTTAAAAATATGAGATAATCCATAATCTTCAGTGTGGTTAGCTATGAATCTTCCAAAACTTCCTAATACCTTGTCCTGGACATAGTTTCTACAGTATAAACTGTGCAACAGTACAGTAGGCCCACACAAACTGCAGAACACTGGTGCTTTGGGAACACTCAAATGATTTAATTCCCATTTAAAATCAGGAGACTAAATATGAACATTATATGTGTGTGTGTGTGTGTGTGCGTGTGTGTGTGTGTGTGTGTGTGTGTGTGTGTGTGTGTGTGTGTGTGTGTGTGTGTGTGAGAGAGAGAGATGGAGATCTTTAGGTTTAAGGAAGGCAGAGGATGCCCTCAACAGGCCAGTTAGAGAACTACAACATCTGGAGGAAAAGAAGGAAATAAATTAAATAAACAAATCGGGTTGGTTTCTCTCCCAAACTTCTCCTTTCGAAAGGATTTGATAGTAGTGCTTGGACGGAATTGGGTGGGGACCGAGGTCCGGAGTCTCCACCTGCACACGCAGCCATCCTTATCAACAGAGATGGGGTCGTTACTAAAAAAAAGTAATATATTACATATTACATATTACTTTAAAAAAAAGTAATATATTACACTACTTCGTTACTCTCTACATAAAGTAACTCGTTACTTTACTCGTTACTTTACTCGTTACTTTACTCGCAGGGCCGGCCCGCCCCTCCCTACAGGCAGATCACGCAGACTGCTAAAGTTTCAAATGTTCTCTTTAGTTCAGTTTCCATTGTCGCATAAGACTGATCCAGATAGCTCTGACCATGGCTGTCCTCTGTCTCCTGCTATCTGTATTTTGCGCAGTATATCTCTGAACGATGCGATGGTGATTCCACTGTGCAAATGGGCAACATTACCTCTACTATGAAGGATGCTACAAGCCTGTCCATCTCTGCTTTGGTTACCGGTCCTCCAAATTCTTGCGGCGGCGCACTCACAACATCCTCACTCTGGGTTCGGGGGTCCTTAGCTATTAGCTTCACCTTAGCATGTGTTCTTTGCAGGTGTTTGTTGAGTTTTGACGTGGTGTTTGCAGCAGTGGATAACAGCTTCTGGCCTGGACACAATTTGCACCTCACCGTCACATTCCTGTCTATTCTTCGGACGAACTCAAAATAATGGGCATACCTCCACCCCTCGAAAGTTATCGCTGACTCTGCCATGTTTATGCAGCACTGCTCGCGGAGATGTGGACGTGCAAGTCGCGCAGATTACGTACATATAAACCTGCGGCGGAAACCCCTCTTGTCTGTCAGTGTGATGATGACTGATTTTATAAAAGTAACGAAGTAACGCGTGTCGGGGCAATGTTAGTAACTGTAGTGTGATTACTGAATTATAAAAGTAACGCGTTACACTACTCCGTTACCGACAAAAGTAATATTATTACAGTAACGCGTTACTTTGTAACGTGTTACACCCAACTCTGCTCATCAACTACTGTAGCGTCACCTTGGATACGATTCCAAATAACTCACAGACTGCATCGGGCGCTGAAATTGGCGCCCTATGACCATCAGATCTGACGACGCTGATTGGCTGAAATTATGTTTCGGCGGCATAGTTTACAGATAGCAACAGTCAGCAATGTGTTGGCTGCTGCTGCTCTGGCTGAGGGCTCCTTTCTTAGCGCCCAGACGAGAGAGGGTAATGATACACGCTGCGGCCAGGCAGGAAACATGTGACTTATTAGTAACTTTAGACATCGTAACACAATTTTAAACGAGATTTTATTGTAGATTATACATTTTACTGATACCAACTATATAATATTTACCTTGTTCATTACAAATACAAATTATATATTTTTTTTTAATATATTTTTTTATTTGAATGACAATCAAACATGTGGGAAGAGGGGGGGCGGCCGGCCGCCACTGCAGACGTCTCTTTTCCAATATAAGTCAATGGGAAAAGGATTTTGGGCCCAATGATGTCACACACTGACACAGAAGTTGTAGTACCACCTTTTGGCCATTACCAAACATTTGTTTCAACGTCCGTCTCACTTCCTGGGGTCTTGCTATGCTCATGCGGATGATTTAATTTAGGTCACAGTTCATGATATTACCAATGTTTCTGACATGTTTACTTTTGAAAGAAAGGGATTTGGGACATCTGAATAATAATAGTGGGATATTTTACAAAGCTTGTGTGAGCTTGGGTGTCGTGGTATGTTGTAGACAAGCACACAATCAATCACAATATTGAATATTCTATGTGTTTGGCTTTGTGAGCATATCCTCTTTTAAACTCTGAACGTCTCTTTTGTCAGAGTGTAGTCGTATTAAAACTTATGGAATAGGTATTAATAATAATAATAATTTCAATTTTTTATAGCGCCTTTCTAGGAACCCAAGGACGCTTTACAATGGGAGATAAAATAACAAAACAACAAAATAATAATAATCACACAGATACAGGTTGAAAAAACAGGTTGCTGGGTACTGTATTTTAGCTGGGGCCGAAGGCCTGAGTGAACAGATGGTGTTTGAGTTTTTGTTTGAAAGGGTCCAGAGAGTCGGCATTCCTGATAGCAGAGGAGAAAGAGTATTTCAGCTTGGATGGAGAGCAGCCCTGTGTCGGAGGACCGCAGCTGACGAGAGGGGGTTTAGGGCTGGAGGAGGTCAGAGATGTATGCAGGGGCTAGGGAGTGGAGAGATTTGTAGGTTAGCAGGAGGAGTTTGTACTGGATGCGTGACTTGACCGGGAGCCAGTGAAGGTGGATGAGGGTGGGGGTGATGTGTGCGGGTGAGGAGCCTGGCTGCAGAGTTCTGGACGCCTGTCCAGGGCTTTGCTGGTGACCCTGAACAGAACTCCGTTGCAGTAGTCCAGGCGAGAGGAGATGAAGGTATGTATTATTATTAATTGTTTCAAACTAACACATTTTTGCAATTGTCACTAGTGGCTTTAGGCTTATTTTGTTACTAAGCACACACTGCTGTTTTTAAATGAAGGTCAAAGTTCACGACCTTACCATGTTTACGGCTTGTTTACTTAAAAAAAAAGAAGAATTTAGGACACCTGCATAATGAAAGTGAGAGACATTACAAAACTGAGCTCTTGGGAGCATGTTGAAGGTTCAAGGCTTTTATTAGTCATACGTACATAGCTACAGTGTAGTCATGACGATGAAAATATTAGGTCACAGGCTCCTCCAACAGAGCAACACAATAACACAGAAAAACAGAACAAATAGTGCAAGTAAATACAAAAATAGAAATGGTGAAATAGTGAAATAGTGCAATAAGAGTCTATATACAAAGTACATGTAAAGTTTGAAAACAAGAGTTTCCCGAAACGACCTTTGGGGAACTCCACATCCTTTGTCCGTGCATCCTTTTGGTACCATTGAAATATTCTCTATCTTTAACCTGATTTGAAGCAAACTGGGAATGTGTCTGAAATGTGAACAAGAAACTTCTCTGGATTCTGTTACACAGAAATAATTAGAGTCCGGTTTGGTGTGGGACAGTAACAACAGTAACATCAACAAAGAGCTGTGTTAAATTCTGCATCCTGAATAATTCAGTTTTGCAGAATTTAAGAAATCATATCTAATGCAATAAAGAAATAACCTTCCACATTGCATGAGTGAGGATTAGGAACTTTCATTTACAGATTATATAATTCTCAGTTATAATATAGAATTAGTTTAGGCTGGAAGCTCATTCAAATCCTAACAATAAAATGTACAAAAACAAATTGATCTAATAACAAACATGTTTATAGCAATGCAATAAATGAAAAGCAATTATTTTTTGTGCACAAAGAGATTTAACATAACATTAATTTAATTGTTAAAATGTCTAAGCAGAACACTATGTATAGTTACATTTTACAACAACAAAGAAAACATTCAGGATAATGTTACACGTTTTTTGCATTTTGATATCGTGTGTGTGTGTGTGTGTGTGTGTGTGTGTGTGTGTGTGTGTGTGTGTGGGTGTGTGTGTGTGTGTGTGTGTGTGTGTGTGTGTGTGTGTGTGTGTGTGTGTGTGTGTGTGTGTGTATGTGTGTGTGTGTGTGCATAAAGCTTAAGCTGGAAAAAGAAAGGAATAAAATGTTACTATACTAATTGTTTTAAATGTGAGCCTTAAACTGACGTTTTTCAACATTTAAGGAACTACTCTCGATTACAGTACATCACAAGTTTTTGGCAATTTCTTTTCATAGATTAAATTAACTATTACTTATTGTTAAGAGACTTAAAGTTAATTTAAACCCAGACAAAGAAAAGTGAATAAAACGTTCAAAAACTTGGAAAAACGTAATTTTTTGTTTTTAAAGTTGAAGCCAATTTAGACTTACTTTTTACAACAAATAGGAAACGACCTAATATTATGTTACACGTTTCTTTACTTTTCTTTACGAGTTTGTTTTGATGTTGAACTTGTTGATCAGTGGAGTCTGATGGAAGCAGAAGGTTCTCCAACGTTTTCATAGGTCACTACACCTTCATCTTCATCATTATGCACCTGTACAAATAAACACAACACACTTGAGAAACTGATATCAAATGGAATAAGTGAATCACCTCTTTTGCAGCAATCACTAACATAATAAATAATACAATTAGTACTGTTTCATTCTTATTGTAAAGACTGAAATACTAATAACACAAGCGTTGATTATTCAGAAACTCACAGCATTATCATCCGTCTGTGCTTTGTTCCCTGAAAAGACAATAAATAAACTTCAGTTTCAAGTCTCAATCCGGCTTCATCTAATATTATTTAAATAAAATGACTTCAGTGAATGTTCTCACCTTTAGCTCTCGTCCATATCGTGACCGTCACCACAATTATTATGAGCGGTGCTAAACCGACAGACACGATGATGATCCTCAACCAATCTGGAACCGAGAGAGAAAACATTTAAAATATTTCGGCTGCAGCTTACTAGACCATTTCAAATCCTGCACCTCAAAGAATTCACATGTTTTCTTAATATTTATTTGGTCTGACATTTATAATGTAGGCTGCAGAAGGAGTCAGAGAGATGGATGTTAGTCACTACCTTGTCCTGGGGGATCATTTCTCCCTGCTGGTGTGCTTCCTTTTGGTGAGGATTCAATGAAATCACAAAACAAAACACAACACAAGACATGCAAACAACTTTAAGTTTAACATCTGACAAAACTTAATGAGACATAATTATGTAATCTTTAAAATGAAAAATTATCAAATAAAATAAAATGTACCCGTTTTCTGACCTGAGGACTGGGGTCCAGCATCACACAGCTGCGTTTCTCCAGTCTCAGTATCTGTCACGTTACACTTCAGCAACTTTTGATCAAGATGAGAAGCAAATGTCACTATGGATGAACAGGCAGCTGGTCTTCTCTCCACGTCACTCTGATTACCCTCGTACACCCACTTCACTGTGTGTTTACACCGTGTGTATGTCAACACAGAGCAGAACAAGGTGATCATATCATTGTTTTTATCCTCAGTCACTGAAGCTGGAGATAATGTGAGAGAAAGACAACAAGAGTATAATTAACTTTATCACTGATATCATAATTATTGTAATAGTATAGTATATTGACAGTATGAGAGGAAAACATGATGTAAATACTCACTGTCAATAACAGACAGAAGAACCTGAGAGTCTGGACCTTGTTGTTTTCCTGATTTGAACTGTCTGCAGGTGTAACGACCAGCATCCTCACGTGTGATATTTTTTATAACCAGAGAACAGTTTTCTGTGACATTCAGTCTGTGTGATTTAGCTTTGGGAATCTCGTTTTTACTTATCAGCCCAAGATTAATCAGCTCTTTAAGTGTTTCCTTATCACGACTGTAGAGCCAGATAGTACTGTCACATTTGTGCTGATGTTTTATCACATGTTCACAAGGCAAAGTGACACTATGTCCAGCTCTGACAGTGAGGGAGAGGGAAGTTTTTCCAGTGACTGCTGTTGAAGATAAGAGAAAATAAAAATGTAAAACAGTTTCTTTATAGTCATGTGATAGGATGATAATACATATAACAAACAATATCAAATGTCCCTTCTCCAAGAATTCACTCATTACACTTTGTTCAAAACAAACAGCAAACTTGGCCCTTCACTCAAATCAGTTTTAGTTATTGAAATACTTTAAGTAAAGTTTCTTTAGTTCATGTATGTGTTCTTCATCCTTACCTGTAAACTGAAGCAGCAGTATCACCACTAAAGTCGTATTAATCCGTCTGAATTCAACCATCGTGTCTCTGCGTCTCTGTCTCTCGCTCTCACGCCCTCAACTGACGTCTCTGAACTAATGACTCTGTAGAAGAGAGAAAGATGTACTTCCTGTTTTAAGTAAAATGTCACTTCCTTTTTGTGACTCCTTTTTTTAATCACTCTTTTAGTGGTTGAATTGTTAAAAGCAGATCAGCTTTGTATCTCTCTGAATGTAGATATCTGAACAGCTCAAACAGATGTGGTTCAGAGTGGATATAAAAGACACATTTAACAACATTAGCTCTAGGGTCAAAATGTTAATAATCCCACAGAAGGAATATTTATAATATAATCTGAGACCTGAGTGTTTACTCGCCCACCCACCCTAACCACATGACATTTCCTGTGTATCGTGGTGTTTCAGAGTCTCATACTTTCCGTCTATTATCACAACCTGTATTCACACAGTGCTTTTGAAATGCTATTCCACATTGCCTAACTTTTTGGGGATAGTATTTGCAAATTAAGAAGTAATTCTCAATGCAATGGAAAATTGAAGAGACCACAAGGAGCAAAGTGAATAAAAAAATGCATAGAAAATATTAACGTTTGTACAATTTGCTATCTGACTAACTTTGCTGTATGATACCTTCAGACACACTGATATGTCCTGATAAGAAGAAAATATGTTTTCGTATCATTAATCACATTTGTATATGCATGTCATTCGGGGCAATAATGTTCATGATGTCTTAAAAGAGGACTTTTCTTTTGAGGAAGTTTAGTTGCAAAAACATTTGTGCAAATATGGTGCTAAAATAGAGCATTGCATTAAAAAAAAAAGTGACGTTGACAGAGCACATTGATGCTCACGTGACTCAAACTCCCCGCCCACCAGCATTTGACGCCAATAGTGCAATATGGTCATAGTGGGGGAAATTACTAATATTTTAGTGGTTTTAGAATCAGTCGCTTCTTCAAAGTGGCTCAGTGTTATTTCCTGAGAACTGATGGGGAAGTGTTTCTGTGAGAATGAGGGCAACAGCAGCAGCAGCAGAGCTCTGGAGGTGTTACCCTCTGATGATGAGCAGACAAGCATCACACATCATCTGTTTGTTCACACCCTGTAAGAACACAATAGGTCAGAATATTAACCAATATCCTTAGATGGCTTTGTGGGCAGTGCAGAGGGGGAGCGAAAAAACTAAACAGAAGTTCACTCCTTGAAACTCTGAACGTCTGTTTTCTATTATAGTCTGATCTAAAGATAACGGTATGGACGGTTTTAATATTGTCTCTCTAACAGAAATGCTTACATGTCAGTATGCTATTTTTGTAACTCCATAGGTGTATAAAGAGAACTGGATACAGAGTTGGAGGCGGGACCTTGTTCATTGTTATGAGAGTTGGTATGTGGCACATGAAGTCAAAATGGCCTGCCTCTCGAGGGATTAGTATTCGTATCTGGGCCAATAGAGAGTGCGCAAATGCTTTTTACTTAAGCCCCGCCTCCAATCTGCAGCTTCAAGGCCAATCTCGTCTCAGTCAAATGAATGGAGAGGTTTAATAACTCTGGATTCAGCTATTAGCATATTTTGCAACTTTTAGATCCTAGTGATTTAAATAAGGGCTATAAAAGTGTTCGTACTGGGTAGTTGATTAGTTTTTATTTTAAAGATCTGCAGATATACAGACGTCCAGTGGCGGCTGGTGGAAAATATTTTTGGTGGTGCTGTGGAAATGGTGACCAAACCATACTAGGGGGGGTCCGGGGGGATGCTCCCCTGGAAGAAAATGTTGAGAAATGACCCCTTAAATTATGACTGCTGGTGATGTTAGAGGGGGGGGGGGGACAAATTGAGGCTTAAAAATTGAGGCTTAAAAATATGAGATAATCCATAATCTTCAGTGTGGTTAGCTATGAATCTTCCAAAACTTCCAAATACCTTGTCCTGGACATAGTTTCTACAGTATAAACTGTGCAACAGTACAGTAGGCCCACACAAACTGCAGAACACTGGTGCTTTGGGAACACTCAAATGATTTAATTCCCATTTAAAATCAGGAGACTAAATATGAACATTATATGTGTGTGTGTGTGTGTGTGTGTGTGTGTGTGTGTGTGTGTGTGTGTGGGTGCGCGTGTGTGTGTGTGTGTGTGTGTGTGTGTGTGTGTGTGTGTGTGTTGTGTGTGTGTGTGTGTGTGTGTGTGTGTGTGTTGTGTGTGTGTGTGTGTGTGTGTGTGTGTGTGTGTGTGAGAGAGAGATGGAGATCTTTAGGTTTAAGGAAGGCAGAGGATGCCCTCAACAGGCCAGTTAGAGAACTACAACATCTGGAGGAAAAGAAGGAAATAAATTAAATAAACAAATCGGGTTGGTCCGGTCCAAGGTCTTTAACCAACAATTTCTCTCCCAAACTTCTCCTTTCGAAAGGATTTGATAGTAGTGCTTGGACGGAATTGGGTGGGGACCGAGGTCCGGAGTCTCCACCTGCACACGCAGCCATCCTCATCAACTACTGTCGCGTCACCTTGGATACGATTCCAAACAACTCACAGACGCTCAGGGCGCTGAAATTGGCGCCCTATGACCATCAGATCTGACGACGCTGATTGGCTGAAATTATGTTTCGGCGGCATAGTTTACAAATAGCAACAGTCAGCAATGTGTTGGCTGCTGCTGCACTGGCTGAGGGCTCCTTTCTTAGCGCCCAGACGAGAGAGGGTAATGATACACGCTGCGGCCAGGCAGGAAACATGTGACTTATTAGTAACTTTAGACATCGTAACACAATTTTAAACGAGATTTTATTGTAGATTATACATTTTACTGATACCAACTATATAATATTTACCTTGTTAATTAAAAATAAAAATGATATATATTTTTTTAATATATCTTTTATTTTGAATGACAATCAAACATGTGGGAAGAGGGGGGGCGGCGCCCCTATGGGCTTGCCGCCACTGCAGACGTCTCTTTTCCAATGTAAGTCAATGGGAAAAGGATTTTGGGCCCAATGATGTCACAGACTGACACAGAAGTTGGCCACTACCAAACATTTGTTTCAGCAGCGTTTCCCCAGTCTTACCCCTAGATTCCACCGGGTCCGTCTGCGGCGCGTTACGGGCGCGTTACGGGCGTGTTACGGGCGTGTTACGGGCGTGTTACGGGCGCGTTACGGCTGTGCCGCGGTGCTCACGGCGATCGCGGCCACTCTAGTCAATGGGTGCTATTCCACCACATGCGGCGCGTTACGGCTCAGAAGTGTCCCAGAAGCGTCTCGGCGCAGGGCTCCTCTAAAATTAGGATCGAATCCTATTTTTGTCGCGGCGCAGCCGTAACGTAAGGTCGGGCAGGCAGGAAGTGGAACGTTCAGAGCTATATATACACACACCACTAAAATACAGCACACATCTTTGATTCATGTCGTTTATAACTGGAATATTACAGTTATTATTAACTTTGTCTGTACAAAGTAGCCTGTCCAGGAAATATGCCCAAATCAACAAAAACTGCGAGCCGGCAGGCAAGACGCTCCGCTTCTGAAATGCTTCTGAAACTCGCCTGGTAGGGTATGACGCCGGAGGAGGTCGGACCAAAACCGCAACGCGGCGCAGACGGACCCGGTGGAATCTAGGGGTTAGTATCTGTCACGTTACACTTCAGCAACTTTTGATTAGGATGAGAAGCAAATCTCACCCTGGATGCACAGGTAGCTGGTGTTATCTCCACGTCATTCTGATTACCCTCGTACACCCACTTCACTGTGTGGTTACAGTCTCCATATGTCGACACAACGCAGAACAAGATGATCATATAATTTTGTTTATCTTGAGTCACTGAAAATACAGATAATGTGAGAGAAGACAACAAGAGTTACATTTACTTTTCCACTGATATTATAATTATTGTTGTGTTATAGTATATTGACAGTATGAGAGGAAACATTATGATGTAAATACTCACTGATAATAACAGACAGAAGAACCTGAAAGTCTGGACCTTGTTGTTCTCCTGATCTGAACTGTCTGCAGGAGTAACGACCAGCATCCTCACGTGTGATATTTTTTTTATAACCAGAGAACAGTTTTCTGTAACACTCAGTCTGTCTGATTTAGTTTTGGAAATCACATCTGTTTTTTTCTTCCCAAGATGAATCAGCTCTTTTGTTGTATCCCCTTTCATAACGACTGTAGAGCCAGGTAGTACTGTCACATTTGTCCTGAGGTTTTATCACATGTTCACACAGCAAAGTGACACTATGTCCAGCTCTGACAGTGAAGAAGAGTGAAGTTTTTCCAGTGACTGCTGTTAAAGATAAGAGCAAATAAAAATGTAAAACAGTTTCTTTATAGTCATGTGATAGGATGATAATACATATAACTAACAGTATCAAATGTCCCTTCTCCAAGAATTCAGTCATTACACTCTGTTCAAAACAAACAGCAAACTTGGCCCTTCACTCAAATCAGTTTTAGTTATTTAAATACTTAAAGTAAAGTTTCTTTAGTTCATGTATGTGTTTTTCATCCTTACCTGTAAACTGAAGCAGCAGTATCACCACTAAAGTCGTATTAATCCGTCTGAATTCAACCATCGTGTCTCTGCGTCTCTGTCTCTCACTCTCACGCCCTCAACTGACCTCTCTGAACTAATGACTCTGTAGAAGAGAGAAAGATGTACTTCCTGTTTTAAATAAAATGTCACTTCCTTTTTGTGACTTTAGTTCTTTTAGTAGTATTTGTATTTGATAGTATTTGCAAATTAAGAAGTAATTCTCAATGCAATGGGAAATTGAAGAGACCACAAGGAGCAAAGTAAATAAAAAGTGCACAGAAAACATTAACATTTGTACAACTTGCCTTCTGACTAACTTTGCTGTGTGAAAACTTCAGACACACTGATACATCCTGATGAGGAGAACATATTGTTTAGTATCATTAATTCAATGTTTTTCTGCATGTCATTCGTGGCAATCGTGATGTCGTACAATACAAGAGGATTTTTCTTTTGAGGAAGTTTAGTTGCAAAAAAATTGCTAAAATACAGCATTGCATACAAAAAAGTGATGTTGACAGAGCACATTGATGCAACGTGACTCAAACTCCCTG